AACAGAAAATATAAGTAAATAACAGTAAATATAAGATTAAATTCGTATGTTTAACTTCTCTCTAACAATGGTGGCATACGTGCAAAAATCTGGAGAGTCTGTCCGTCACGCGATGAGATAGAGCGTATTATATTTGCATTTGTGTGTACGCAAATATTAGAATACATCAAAAATACTCGAAAATATCAAATATTTATCGATTTATCAATAGGATTTTAGTCAATGAAACCGTCCAAAGTACAAGTCAACCCCCACTCCCTAAAACTCAGGTTTATGGCATTAAAATAGTCGTGGAAACGTGTTTTAGAGTTAATTTATTGTTAATTAATGCAAAAAAAAAAATGTCGAGTAAAACGAGACTTTCTAGATGATATTACGAGATAAAAACGATGAAAATTTTGCATATATTTTTTTAAAAATTTAAAATCAAGAAATTAAAGGATTTAAATTAAATTCCTTGTCCTTCACACGTGTTCTTCCTCCCTTTTACTCAATGGTTACTTTTGAAGTTACGTAGGGACAACTTTGTTACGATTTTTCGAAAATTCACGCTTTATTATGATGTAAAACATTCCATTCCTACACAATACCGTTTCTAACAATACAAAAAAACAGGGAGAGAAAAAGATCCCTCACCGAGATTTCTCAAGGATTTTAAGTAAAGAAGCAAACTTAAAGCATTCGGGGTATACAAATCTTGAGATTTAGACCTTTCCTTGTGTAAAAAAAAAGGCCCTGAGCTATAATATATAATAGGCCCTTTCCCTCTACTAAATTATATATGTAATAGCGTGAGGCCCCTAAGGTAACTCGAGGCCCTAATTACATTGTTTTTAAATTCGATCCTGGTGAAAATATATAATAAATATACCCAGTTATACTTAAATATATATATTTAAAATTTACTTTATTATATTTTCTCACGGTTAAAAAGAAAATTTAGATTGAAGAAGAAGAGGATGATGATGATGATGATCTTTATTTCCACGAAAAAATCCAAGAGAAATGACATCAAGTATAATAAAAATTTCAAGAAAATAATACATAGAACCAACCCCAGAGATAATTGAGCTTTGTACAGGAAATGACCTTAAACCAGAAAAGGAAACAAACCCTTATGACAGTCCACTCCACTTAAGTTATGTGTTCGAGTTTCTACTTAAATTAATAATGATTCTTTACTTCCCACACGTACATCCAGACGTACAAACGTACACATCAAAACGTACATTAATTAATAATAATACTAATAAAAGAATAAATAATAAACTATAACGCCGTAAAACAAACAGAATAAAGGAAGAAGATGATGATGACCACCCCATTAACTTTCCCTCCCCTCTTTTTTAAAATTTATTTATCTAAAAATCCTCTGTTCCTATGATAAATAAACTAGTGTTAATCACGTGTACGTCAGCCAATGGGGTACGGGATAAGAAAAATATAAGGGTGAGAGCGATAGAAGGGGGGGGGAGGGAGAATATTAAAGAGGAGGAGAGGAAAAAAAAAAACTCCAGTTGTAACGTTAGATGGGCAACACGAAGCCGTGAGAGATGGAATTTTTTTGATGCGTTTTTATGAAGAAATCAGGTAGAGATACGTTATGACACGAGTTTTATAACGTTATAGAGGGTGAAAAATCGTATTTTTAGAATTTACACCACCATTTTGTGACGTTTTTTTAAGAAGGGAACTGGGTGGAATCCCCTGTTCGCTCCTCCTTCTCATCCTTCTCCTCCGAAGAAGAAATTAAGTGGTTTTTTTGGGGGGTTTTTAATGCAGATAAACTTAAATGTACTTTAAAAAAAATCGAATTTATTTCTATATCGGGGTGTTTTTTATTCAATTATATAAGTTACGTCCTCGATTTTTTTGAAGGAAGTTATTAAAACATGAGAATCGCACACCCTTCCTCTCTCTTCCTCGTAAGTTTTAAAGGATTTTTAGCATCAATTTTTCCATGTTTTTTATTAAAAAAAATGACGGATCTTCTTGAAAATTAAGATTAAGCTTTGTAGAGTTGTTTTAGAGTCAATCTGGTACATTTTAAATCGATTAAAAACGTTGGAGAGATGCCCCTGTGGCTGAGATGCCCCAATTCAGTTAACAACTAAATTCGTGTTGAAATTAAAAATTACACGAAAAGGTGCATTTTTTAACATAAATTTTGAATTTTTTAAGAGAAAATTTCTTTAAAAACTTGTTTACGAACTTATAAAATAATTTAGGAACCTCCAAAAGCTAATAATTGGCTGAAAAGACAACTTAAAGTGGACCATTGAGGAAGATAAACACGTCCCTGGAGAGCTAGTACCATTGTAGAAATGGGCCTTTTCAGTTCAAAAAAACACCCCAAAATACCTTATAGAATTTTTTAGAAAGTTTTAAAATATTGACAAGTATAATTTAAGGCGGTGGTTGCACTCCTGAGAGTGCACAGAAATTAGAGAAGTGAAGCGTGTTGAGATTCCCAGGTGAACACAAACTTTTCCTTATAAATTCAAAGATAATTATACATTTTTTTCCTTTCTAAAAAATCGTAAGTGAGACAATGAACATAACCATTTTTCCTTAATTCTTTTTTATAATTCGACCCGCATCTTCAAAGAAGTGTACATCTTTCTTTACGAGGTGAGGCCATGGCGTTAATCCAACGTTAAAACCATGCAAGAAAAAAAAAACACGCCTATACATTTAAAAAAAATGAGGTCTGGCTGATGATTTTTTAGATAGGGAACATGCAATCTTCCGTTTCTTTAATACCCTTTATGAATATTTACAAGTTGGCCCAGGGGTCGAAATTTAAATGAATATTTAGTTTGCGAGGATCCAGGTTTACCCCTCCCTTTTATATCTGTTTCTAAATGTTTATTTGTAGATATTACGGTTCTAGTTTATTAGACTTGTACGGACGGACAGACTCGACGATTTCATAAACGATAATAATAAACAGGAAGGGTAACTTATGAGCTAATAATATTAAACAGATTCAGTCTGTTGTGTGTTATGTGAACGTTTGAAGTTGTTTGTTTAAGGATAAACAGATGTTCATTAATGGAAATGACTTGAGGAAATTATCGATAAATGAATTTGAGGACGTCAAAAAAAGCAAATTTGGGGGGTTTTTTTGGTGATAAAAATGGTTTTAGATGNCCTATAACACTGTTGATAATTCCGTTTTATATGAATTCCATGTTGTACGAGTCACTTAGATTTTACAAATATGTGTGCCGGGCTGTGAACGGCTCATGTATTTGTAAAATCTAAGTGACTCGTACAACATGGAATTCATATAAAATAGAATTATCAACAGTGTTATAGGGGGGTCGACTGGGTATGGTCATTCTATCAGGTCGCAAACTTATTCTTTCGTAGTGTTTATTCTAAAGATCTTATCGATTATTTTTGTATCCACAAACGAAAACCAGACACACTGGGTGGTAATTGAATCGAGAATTCGTTTACATCTTTAAATTCCATTAAATTCCTTTAATGTTCTAATTCTCACCAGTAAAATATCCAGTTTTTTTTCTATGGTAAAAATATTGTTTGCCCTCATAAAAATGAATAATAAAAGGTATAACCTTAAAACAAGGCATTTCGACAAATTGCCTTAGGAAATTATCCCTCATTAATAATAATTATATAGTATTTTTCTCATATGTATAATTAGAATCTTGCTTTATCAAAATGATATTTTTAGAGCTTAGCATTATGATCTAATACTTTGAATAACTACAATAAACAATTGTCTAAACTAATGGCAATACCATATAATGTGTCATATAACCCGATACGCAACGTTGATTGAGAGTGTGAATTTTCCACTCTACTTAAAGCATTTTACGATAAAACCAGACATGGCCATGTGGCAAATTTATGAAGATAAAATTCATTAAAAAAAAAAATACCCTACTAATAATTACACTTAATGATATTTTATCCATAAGACACATAAAATACACGAAAACGTTGTGTCATATAATTTAAATTTTTTTAAATTTTTAAACCGACGAATCACGTATCAATTGTTATCGATTTCGTCCAATCTCGTGTCGGGTCAGAAAAGTATTTTTAAAGTGGTTTAGATGGCCATTTAGGGGGAAGAACTATTATGCTAATACTGTAATATGTTAGCTAGCAGGGTTTAAAGTAATGACGTAACTGTTAGCAAAGCCTCCACTCGACTAATAGGGTGTCTCTCCAGAATATGGTTCTGTTCAATATTTCTAGCCTCAGGTTGTGTTTGTTCATCAGTATACTGTGTTGCTCGAGTAGAGCCAAGCTTAAAGAGGGTAAATTATATTACTGTATCATCTAAATAATGCCAAAAGTTAGTTTATTAGGTATTAAAATGAAGTTATTTCGAATTATAAATATTTCAAAGCATGTAAATTTTATACACATTTTACTTCATTAACATTAGGGAATGGAGAAAGTTTTAACAAAAATATGCCCAGGGCCCTATGCAATCTCATCAAATTAATATACCGTATGAAATTCTATGTTAATTATCGGTGGAATATCATATTAGAACAAGGATCCTTACTAAAATCTGGACGGCCTTGTAGTGACAACACTCGAAATACATCACGAAATAGCCTGAGAACTCGCGATAATTATTCCATAAGGATACTCGACATGTTTCTGGTCATCCTTGGACCCGAAATATTTTCAAATGTATTCGTCTTCAATGTGTAATCTAATTTTTTTTTGGTATATGTTTACGTGTTATTTTCTTTAACGAATTTTTTACGAATATCATTCGAAAATTTAGGTGTTTTTCTATTGTACTTTTGTGAAAGTCGTGATGACGAAAAACAAACGACCAATATGGCACAATACTTATCTGTCCACCCTCTCGTCTGTGCGTGTTTACAAGACCACCTGCCTTTGACTACATTCCTAGAGTCAGCCGGACTAGAGAACACTAGGCGGAGTGTTACGCGCGCTCCAGTACAGTACTTTGATCTCACACAAGTGGATGTGTGCACCTCGCAGAAGATAGTGCATAAACTTAATTGTCTTAAACACACCAGATTATAATACAAAAGGAAATTATTTATATCTTTTAAGATATATCTTATTATCTTTTCGATATATTTTAAATGTAAATAATCGACGACGTTAGGATAAAAGTTTGTGATAGACCAGACTGGCGGATGAACATCTACCAGTAGTGTATTCGTCGTCAGATGAGAGACAACAGGTCGGAGTTTTGACGAGTTGGTTGTGTGGATTCTGTTTTTGTGTTACTGTTGGATATTTGTGGTGTTACTTTTTGGTCATCCTTATGTGTCTCGTAGAAGGCAACAATTGAGGATTTTTCTCTGGTAGACGGGATGAGACACAGACTTTGGTTTCGTCTGTGTATCTTGGTCCAGTTGGCCGTCTATGGTTCTCAAGTAGTGCAAGGTATGTATGTCTTGGGTAGGAGGGTCCTCTCTAGTGGTCCCCGTAATGGCCGTTTGGTGATGTATCCGAAGTGTCTAGCAAAACGTACCATTTAATTTGTGACAATTGACGCGTCCGCTCGTACGAATTAAGGTTATTTTTGTAAGGGTTATCGACTCTTATCGATATAAATTCGTATATACTACAGGCTACGTCGATTATATATATATATATATATATTTTAATCTAGTTAATTTAACGGTATCGTCTCTTATATAAGATAAAATATTAGTTGTGAATTTATGATTTTCCCGCCTTAGTGACTGTCTTGCTTCTCCCAATTTCTTCTTTTGTAACTCGATCTTCTCCTCCAGATGGACCCAACTATGGTGTCAAGTGACACCTTATATAAAGTTATTGATTGATTAAGTTGTACCCTAAAGTAATATACAATATATATATGGGTCGCTTGTATGCCCCATTGCTCATCGGTTTCGTTCCCACGTTATTGGTTACTGGAAACAGCACGCACTGTATTTCATTTTAATTTAATTTAATTTTATTTTTTAGATCATTTTTCGAGATAATTTGGCGCGTGCAAAAGTCGAAATTATTTTCCATTTTTTATTGTTAATATTTGATAAAGTTGCTCTCTCCCTCCTTATAAGATAATATACGAATTTCTTATCGGTGTTTTTATCACTCGGAAAGGGCTTAAAAAAGTAAACAAATTTCTACTTTTATTTCTTAAAAAATATATATTAAATTTGTTTTTTTTTCGATTACTAATTTAATAGTTAATCCGTGCATTAAATTCGTGCTCGGGATTAAGTGGGGTATTTTGTAGTGACGTCAGACTAGAAGAAAATGCGTTCGGTTAATGATGAGAAAGGAGCACTATCTTTAATTTAAAGTCCGAGTTAAATCGTTTCAATTGGAATGAGGACACATGAATGATGATGTTTCGAGATACAGATGACAATAGTTGAGCGCTCAATTAAACAGGAGAACAATCGGACACACTAAATTCCAAATCAGTTTGGGTGTACAGTATGTATTCTCTCAAGTCTTATAGCTTATTATACCCTTATTTTTCTTTTTCTATCGATAATAAAAATTTAACTGGTTAAATTATACATATATTTGTACTGTATTATGATCTTTCATCGTAATTTGATCGAACAATCTCGGAAATTCTACCTTAAAATTGACGTTTTCACGCTTACGTGCATGTGTGTTTAATTCGTTTTTTGTGTTTTTAAATATTTAAAAATGTTTTATTTACGATGATTGGATGATTTATATGAAATTTACAGTATTTATTTACTTTTTCAAGTTTAATTGTTTGTCATTCGTCGATAGTAATGACGTAACAATGGGAATTTTATTTCAAATTTAAAATTTTGAATATTTTTTTATTATTACGTCATCGTTGTTCGGTTTTTTTTTAAAATTCGAATAATGATGACGCAATAATTTTTAAAAAATATTTCGATTATAAATCAGTCATTTTTTTTATTCGTGCTTTAAAAATAATTTGAATATTTAAAACTGTTTATGATTGGCTTATCTAATTCTGATGTCGTTACAATGCGAATTTTAAAAATATTTTCGAACGATTTATGATTGGTCGATAATTGTTTACGTTTCGAAGGAAATCCAATCACGATTAAATTCTATCATTTTAAATTTATTTTAAAAAATGGCGCCAAATTATTGGCATTTTAACCATTTATGGAATAAGTGACGAAGACACGAGAAATCCTCGTTATTGGCTGAACGCGATCACGTGTCTATATTTAAAAATTTAAATTTCAGTTTAACGGTAATGATTTCCATAACACTTCTAAGCACTTGTTAAGCTATGGAAGCAGATGTATTATATTATAATGAGCATAAAAATACTATTACAACACTTAGTTGTTTCCTAACAGCTTAGTTGTAATAAATACAGTAGCCAAATTGTAAAAATTAATTTTGCAAGCTTAGTGTATACACTACACGAATCTGGGTTAAGCTTTTATTACTAAATAAAAGCAATAAAATCCTTTTAACATTTGGCGCCCTGTACGCTTTATTTTACTACATTCCGCCCGTTGATGTGGCCTATAAAATGTTACGTATCCAACACAGCAATTACTGATCGACTACGCCCCGATACTTTCTTTGCCTTGTATCGCTTTGTGTTTCTCATAGGAAAATGATCTTAAGATTCGTACGAGCTTTATCGATTGCCCTTTTTATTTTTGTTTGTTTTATAATTTCTCATTATAGTAAAACAATAGATTTATTAAAACCAAAACGCTAGTCCCAATTTACAACGGAAAATGTCGCTCGAATTGCTTTAACTAATTGCTGTGTTGTATCAGGAAGGGAGAAAGCATTACTTTATAACCGAAGCACTAAATTACGTGGGATGATATGTTGTTCTATATATTTTAATTGTGTAACTTTATACGTAAATATATATATACAGGGTGGCCCAAAAGTCTGTTGACTGTTTTGTGTATTCTAAGTACACTTGCGAGTGTGAATCCGGTGTGTTCTTTTACAGAATTGTTGAAAAACTCTACACAATGGTTAACTTACTTTTGGACCACCATATATATATATATATTAATTGAATGGTAGTTTTCTTTTTATAATAAATAACTTAGTTGTAAACATTTATATGTTACACGTATCAAGGCTTCTTATCAGGGTTTCAAACCCTCCAGGGCTCATATTTAATGCCCATTCAACTTTAGATTTGTTAAAATTGTAGCAATAAATCTGATTTTAATGCATCATTTTTTATGTATTGCTCTATCAACGAGGTTTACTGCGTAGGGTCTTATCAGTTACTTATTTCAATAAGGTTTATGAGGCTTAGTTAAGTAGCCATTAATGCTACATTTATGTAAAATAAGCATCAGCCTTGTTGACATAAGAATGGCATTGCCTTATTTTCCCTTGTTGGTTCTTGTGATACAGAACTTGTTATTAGTGTAGGGCTTAACAATTAAATTTAAAACAACTCTCAACACATCTTTTTCTTGTATTTCTTGTATCGACAGATCTTTCTGACGATTGGCACAATTTCTTTAAGGTTAAAGAATGCATTTATTATTTTTATTGTTCCCTTAAGGTTAAGCAATTATGTTCAAAACAACAACAACAACATTGTTTACAGTATATTTAAGCAATATTATAGTTTGCACTGATACACAATTAGCCTTATATCATTTAAAACATTATGAGATATAGAAGTAATTGGATCTACAGTAAAAGTCATTGTCCTGTTCACGTAATGTTTCTGTTATTCCCTCCCTTGTGGCGGGTATCAACTCGTTGCTTATCACCTTTATCTTTTCTTTTTTAATTAATTAAAGGCGGAAATTCTACCTCGATATTTAGATATATATATGCCCTGAAAGTATCTATAAATATAGATACATAAAATGGGTCAAAAACAAGAATCGGTTTTTAGATATTTATGAGAATTTTATACCGATATTCAAAAAATGGCCGATATCGTTCTTTTTCGTGCTTAAACTATAAATAAAACCATTACAATATCAGGAAGGAAAAACCGAACGAGGAATTTCTAATATTTGTTCTACTCGAATCCATTTATGCACCAGTTTGCATCGATATTTATGTCGATATGAGAACGTGCCAAGTATTTTTGATGGCGTGGAATTTGTGTTTTCGATTATCCGTATGTTTTTCTATGCCAAAGCGTTGTACTTTATGTGCCAATAAAAGAAACTTACAAGGTTCATTCTATGATTTTTTGAAGCTATCAGGAAGTTAATAGAAATTAGTTTTTTCATAAATGATTTATGAAGATGTACCATTTTAAATGTCGAAGTCGTTATTAGTTTATACATCCGCATACCCTAATAACGACTTTGACATTCTCAAAATCGAGTTTCCACCCTTTGAAGGCATTTTACAAGTGGAATTTCCACCTTTCTAAAGACATTCTAAGAATCCAATTTACATGTTTTTCTATTCTAATAATCTATTTTTAAACCTTTAGAATTGAATATAACTTTTGAAAACGTTCTAAAAATCAAGTTTCCATCTCAAAATACATTTTAAATAATCGATTTTCCACGTTTTAATTGTATTCATAACAGTATAAGAAATTCGCTTATCCATTCAGTATTTTTAGCCTATTTATTTCACCATTTTACACAACCTTCCCCGAAATATTTTAAGAAAGTTTACAAAATTTATCCCCCAGACAAAACGTCTCCAAAACTATTTAACTACTTATGGATTATCCTGCATGGCTTAACAAGGATAACAGCAAGCTCATACCATACGAAAAGGTGCAGAAGATACTCTTTATTATTGGCTTCTCCCGGATAATCCCTCACCCCTGGTACGGTTTTATGGGGTTGTATTTTTATACAGAAATAAATCAGCGCTCTTAAAAGTACTGAGAAAGAGGTTATAGTATCAGTTTCTACTATCGTTTCGTCTGTAGAATCGGGCTAATGATTGTAGTTTTCTCGTCTTTCCGAGCCATTACGTTACGCTAAGAGATTCCTCCCCCCCAGTGGGTTCGGTAACGGTGATGATTACGATAATAAATTTACCCCAATTTTGATTGCGGTATAAAGCGTAACAATTAATTTAGAACTGATTTGGGTGTCGCTTCAGTCAGTTTCGTTCCGATTTCATCCGTAAGGGGCATGCCTTCTGGTATATATATATATATATATCGTTTATCTAGTGTGACAATTAATGCGTTACCTGATTGACTCACATGAGCAGCAGTGCGCACTGGGCTGAGGAAGTGTTTGGTGTTTGCGGAAGCTGAAGGACAACGAGCGTGGGAAAGAACAACCAGATGGCTTATAAGCCGCAACACATAACGGAAATCATCGGCCCTATAGGCTCTATAATAATAATAATAATATAATTAAAAGCTTTGCTACAAAAGTCAACTGCGCCCTTAACTCGATTGTATGTAAATGTTTAATGCTCTTAACTCGTGTCTTTTTTTTTCTTCTTGTTTTGGCTTACAT